ATCCCTTAGGACCAGTGGTGTGAGTGGCGATACTGGGAGGGTGGAGGGAGAGTGGGTTGGAAAGAGGGAACGGATTACAAGGAACTGCATGTGACCTCCCTGGGGGATGGACAGCAGAGAAGTGGGTGAAGGGAGACGTTGGATAGGACAAGATATGACAAAATAATAATTTATAAATTATCAAGGGCTCATGAGGGAGGGGGGAGCATGGAGGGAGGGGAAAAATGAGGACCTGATGTCGGGAGCTTAAGTGGAGAGCAAATGTTTTGAGAATGATGAGGGCAATGAATGTACAAATGTGCTTTACACGATTGATGTATGTATGGATTGTGATAAGAGTTGTATGAGCCTTAATAAAATGATTTAAAAAAAAAAAAGATTCACAGTCTCAGAAACCCACAGGGGCAGTTCGACTCTGTCCTATAGGGTCACTACATTGGAGTTTGGTTTGGTTTGGTTCTGCTGGAAAAAGTTTCAAAACATGGACGGAGAACCCAAATAGAGGTAGGTAGTCATCTTCCTAGTTAGGAGGCTGGAGAGGACTCGGTACCTATGAAGTTAGCAGGACAAAATCCTACAGCGGAGAGGGGCATACAGCAAGGACTTCAGAACTGCAAATAATAATCCGAGTACCGATTAGTATATGTATGTGAAAAAACTACCATAGTTTGAAAAAGGAATAAAGATTAGAAAGATTCCCAAAGATCATAAATGCCCCCAAATAGTGTCTATTCCTACTAGATAGAATGGGGAAACTACATAATCTATCAAGTCCTCAAAAAGGCTTTTCCTTAGCAATAGGAGAAATTAATCCTAGCCTAAACACTTCCTTGGTCTTCCCTAGCAATGCTTAAATGAAAGTCCCTGAAAGATCAAACTATTTCCCAGTTACGTAATATAAACCTGCCCGATGATCTTCAGCAAAATTTTATTTGTGTGTAACTTTAATATTGTTTTACAGTTTGAGCATTCTGTTGGGTTGCTTTTCTTTGTAATGAGTACAAATATGGATCTCTTTCAGTCAGTTGGTTGAGTAGCTGTCTTCTAAATTTCCTGGCATCCCTGATGCGGATACTCCCTGGAGGTCACTCTCCCCCAGGTTCTGTCCAGGTGACATAGGGGAGCACAGGGCCCTGACCCATGATGTACAGTCCTTTTCCACAAGGTCGGAGATCAAGCTGGGCCTTGAGTCTGTGCCTGCACATTCCTATAGCTTTTCAGAGTCCTGTGGGCAATGACTGAGGAGGCAAACTGTTCAGGAAACAGCCCTCGTATACATCCCTCCTGAATCTAGGTTCTTTTCTATTGATGAGTTAGACTTGTTTTCTACTTTTTTTGCCGAATGCTTAGCATTTCAAATGCTTTTAAGAGCGATCTCAAATCTACATCTACACTCACAAGGAGGAAAAGAAAGGGCCTCTCCAGTTTGGCCTTTGTTTTTTATTCCTTCATTTTTTGGTCTGGTGAGTTGAATACTTAAAAGACATAAAAATTTAAATGATTCTTACACTGCAGGTCATCACTTAAAAGATAAAAAGATGAAATTCCTTTAGTTGCTTAATCTTTTAACTCTCTTTTTCCATGATCTTACTGAACATCCCTCTTATAAAATAAAAGATGATGTTTAAATTAAAAGTAAATATATACCCTGAACAAAAAAATCATATCAATGTGAATGATATGAGTGCAAAGTGGAGACCCAAAGCCCATCTGTAGACAATTGGACATCCCCTTACATAAGGGTCACAAGGAAGAAGAGATGAGCCAGTCAAGGCATAGTATGGCACCAATGACACATACAGTGTGGGAATTTAAACTTTCCTCTAGTTCTTTAATGCTTCCTAGCCCCTACTATCATTACCTCAAGTCTACCTTACAAATCTGACTAGACCAGAACATGTACACAGGGAACCTAGGACAGATAAACTCCTCAGGACCAATAATGAGAATAGAGATACCAAGAGGGTAAGGGGAAGATGGAGCTGGAGAAAGGGGGAATCAATTACAATGATTGACATATAACCTCCCTTAGGAGGACAAACAACAGAAAAGTGGGTGAAGGGAGACAGCAGATGATGCAAAATATGAAAATAATTTATAACTTATCAAGGGTTCATGAAGGAGGGAAAAATGAGTTGATATAAGGACTCAGGTAGAAAGAAAATGCTTTGAAAATGATGATGGCAACATGTACAAATGTGCCTGACACAATGGATGGATGTATGGATTGTGATAAGAGCTGTAAAATGATCTAATAAATAAATAAATAAATAAATAAATAAATTTCCTGGTATAGATGAGTGCTTCCAGTTTTCATCAGCTTATTGAAACATTTTAATTAGTATTCCATCAATTCCTTGAGCCTTATTTTTGACTAATGCTTTCAGTGCACCTTGAACTTCTTCCGTCAGTACCATTTGTTACCTCCTGAAATGGTAGAATGTCAACTAGTTCTTTTTGGTAGAGTGATTGTGTATTTTTTCTATCTTCTTTTCATGTTTTCTGTATCATTCAATACTTTACCCATAGAATCCTTCAATATTGCAACTTGAGGCTTGACTTTTTGTTTGTTCTTACAGTTTAAGATAAATTAAGACCAGGGGCTAACTGCAGAACCAATCACCAATTGCTCATATGTAAGTTCAGGTTGAAGCTGAAGAAAATTAAAACAAGCACATGAAAGCCAAAATATGACCTTGAGTATATCCCACCTGAATTTTGAGAAATCTCAAGAACAGATGTGATGAAGTGAACATTAATGACGGAAGACCTGATGAGCTGTGTGAGGACATCAGGAGCATCATTCATGAAGAAAGCGAAAGGTCATTAAAAAGGCAAGAAAGGAAATATCAAAGTGAATGTCAGAAGAGACTCTGAAACTTGCCCTTAATCCTTGAGACTAATCTGGTATTAATTCTTCTGAAAGAAATTATTACCACAAGATGCCTTTATTCCATAACATATATATTTAAAGATCATTTTATGGGGGGCTCTTACAACTCTTGTTACAATACATACATCAATTGTATCAGACATATTTGTACATATATTGCCATCCTTCTTCTCTAGACATTTACTTTCTATTGTGCCCTCGGGATCAGCTCCTCTTTTCTTCCTTTCCTCCTTACCCCATCCTCATGGCCCCTTGATAGATTATAAATTGTTATTATTCTTATATCTCACACTGACTGTTGTCTCCTTTCCCCTCTGGTTTCTGTTGTTCTTTCCCCTGGAGGGGTGTGTGTGGTTATGTGCCATTCATTACAATCGGTTTCCCCCTTCCTCTCCACCTTCCCCCTGTCCTTCTGTTACCGCTATTCCCATTCCTGTTCCTGGATTCTATGAGTCATGATGTTTATCTCTTGTCTATACCTATGTACATGTTCTGGTCCAGTCCAGAGTGGGAAGCGGCACTGGGGTCATGATATTGGGGTATGTGGAAGGAACCAGAGGTATATTGTGTGGTCCATTGGTGCTCTACTGCACCCTGATCGACTCATCCATTCCCTGCTACTCCTTGGGCGTGGGCGTGGGAATGGTCCATTGTCTACCAATGGGCTTTGGGTCTCTGCTCTGAACCCCCTTGCGTTTGTCTGGGTAGACTAGAGAAACAAACCCGTGGACACATATATGTGTATAAGAAAGAGATTTATATACAAGAGCAATTGAATATTGAGAAAACATCCCAGCCCAGTCCAGAGCAAGTTCATAAGTCCGATATTAGCCCATATGTCCGATACCAGTCTATAAAGTCCTCTTCAGACTCGTGAAACACATGCAATGATGCTGAATGTAGAAGATCACAGGCCAGTGGGTAGGAAGTCTTTGGATCCAGTGGCATCGGAAACATCTCAGCGCTGGCAGGGGTCTCTATGTAGTTTCTCCGGCTACAGAGGACTGGTTGCAAAAGGGTGGGCCCATTGTCTTATCAGCTGCTATGACTCCCAGGGTGTGGCAGAGAGTCTCCCACCTCCAAGGAGGAAAATCCTGGATTTCCCAGAATTCTCAGGAGAAGGCCATCCCGCACACAGAGGCCTCATTACCTATGATCTGATTGACAGGCTAGACTCCACCCCTACATTCTTAATCCTCAAATTGACAAATGATTATATAACCACCACACCCCTCATTCTCAACAACACGTTTTTGTGTCCATAAATATTTTTTAATTTTTTGTGGGTTTATATCATTGAAAGTACCATGGATTGCCAAAAGAACAAACAGATCTGTCTTGGAAGACGTGTAGCATTCCAGAGAGACCAGTCCCTGAAGAAAGACATCATGTTTAGTAACGTAGAGGGGTGGCAAAAAAAGAGGAAAACCCTCAACAAGATGGGCTCAAACAAAGGAACAATTGTGCAGGACCGGATGGTGTTTTGTTCTGTTGTACATAGGGTCACTATTAGAACTGCTTTGATGGAACCTAGCAGCCATAGTTTCAAGGCGTTAGAGATTAATGATGTCCCAAATGTCCCAACTCTTTCACAATACTATTCATCTTCATCCTCCACCCCCATTCCTTCCTTGAGTTTATTCCCTCGTGTCCCTTGGTTCTTCGAATTGGTGCAATGTCCCACAGACACTCACAAAACTTTCAGGAAATGTCTTACTTAGTCGTGGATTCTCAGTCCAGAATCCAGTGGTCAGGTAGAGGTGAACTAAATGCAGTGTCCAGAACTAAAAGCCAAAAAATGTCCAAAAGTTACAACAGGTCTCTTTCCTTTTAGCAAGGCTCAGTTAGGAAGTGGAGGTATGGCTTTCCACATGAATCAATGTGTGCAGAACTGTGTGGTAGCACCATTATATATATCCAAGGAAACAAAGGGTGATTTGGTCCACATCTGGAGCTAAGGTGGATCTTTAAGAACATCATCAGGGAAACAAACATTGTGACTTTATTCACACCCTCTACCAAGCTCAGGTCTTAATCCTACCCTATATGAGACTATATTGACAGGTGTATAAAGTCCAGAATTATAAGATATCCCATAAGGCATTAGGGTTGGAAAGGCCATATTAATTGGCTGTAACTCACATCTACATCAGAAAAGAAACAAAACATTAATCAACATTTCTGCTTTGAAGGCTGGCCTGTGCAAGAGCAATCTTGATTGCCAAAAGGAATCACCCTTTGTATACCTCTTCCTGATGCAGTCTGCCACTTCTAGTTGTATCTTCTTCTGGTTATATCCATTTCCCTTTAAAAGACGGCTTGAAAATTGTATGAAGTAGCAGTACATTGTACACATGTGGTTGCTATAAATGGAAATAGACTCAATTACAATAACAATCCTTATAAATCATTTAACACTAAGTATAAGACACGAGCTCTTTAAAACATTACAGTAAACTATTGAACCCAGCCAAGAGAGAGTGTTGTGTGGGAAATATCTGGTGTCCAAAATAATAGAGGAATTAGAAAGTGGCTATATTTGCTCTCTGACTCATAGAAGCCAACTTGATGATGACTCATTCACATTATCAGAGTTAACTTCCACAGATACAGCAAAATTGCTACTAAAATTTCAACAATTCTCTCTCTTTTTTTTTGAGACGTGGAATACTCAAATTAAATTAAATTGCAAGAGGTTCAGAATAGCTAAAACCATTTTGGAAGTGGGAAGAAAGAGGCACACACTTCTTGATTTCAAAGCTATAATAGTCAAAACAGTGTAGTACTGGTATAAAGGTAGCTATAGATGAACATAATAGGCTTGTGAACCAACATTAATCTATACATCTATGGCCAATTGATTGTTAATAAGTTTGACAAATCCATTAATTGGGGGACAAAAGTCTCTTTAATAAATATTACTGGACAAGTGGATCACCATTTGTACAAGAATGAGATTGGACCCATAACTTACATTATATAAAATTTTAATTTGACCTGTGACCTAAAATATAACCCAGATTCACAGCTGTTAAGTTTATGTTGACTCATAGTGACCCTATAGGACAGAGTAGAACTGCCCTTGTGAGTTTCTGAGACTTTAACTCTTTATGGGAATAGTCTTTCTCTCGAGGAGCTGCTGGTGGTTTCGAACTGCTGACCTTGTGGTTAGCAGCCCAACATGTAACCACTATACCACCAGGGTTCCTTGACCTAAATATAAGAACTAAAACCCTTTTAAGTCTAAAATGATTAAAAACCAAAAAAGCCTTGGTCGTTTTTGAAGAAAACATAGGAGCAAACCTGCAAGACTTTCCATTATGTAATAGAGTTTTAGATATGACATGAAAGGCACAAACAACATTTAAAAGCAAC